AAAAAAAAAAAAAAAAAAAAAAAAAAAAAGATTTTATATAAGTAAACTTCATTTTTATTTTTGTTTTTATGTTAAATTTTCCTACTTGGAAAGTTATTATAATTTAAAATATTACGTAGAATATAATTGTAATTATAAGAATGAAATATTTTGCTTCCACCTAAATTAGATGACATAGTACTTAGATGAAGAATATTTTTTTTTTCAATATAAATATCCTTATTTGTATTTAATATATTATTTATTAGTTTCAATAATTCTATTATTAATAAGATTTTTTCATCTTTACTACAAATAAATAAATTAACCATTCTATTTTTATCATAAATTAGGTTTTCAAAAGATTTGCTACACACAATATTTGGAAAATTTTTTGGAGTAAAAACAGATGAAAAATCTACAAAAACATAATTTTGTGTTAATATACAAATAAATATTAATAAGGACGTCAGAATGTTTTTATTATGAATATAATGTGACTGATATATAAAGGAAGATATAAATAGAGAAACATTAATCTTAAAATAAGAGAAAAAACATATTAAAATAAAATTTAAGAAATTATTTTCATATAACGATAAAATAGAAATTAACGTAAATATACTATGCTTATTTATATAACTAAAATTATCTGCATTTACTGTATAAAAATTGAAGCTTTTAAATGTTTTTGCTATATCATAGTTATTTAAATAATTTATATTCAAAAGAATTTTAACATCTTTCTGAAAATTGGCGAATTCTTTTATGAATTTTTCATCATGATGATAATTTATAACATTGTTGTATATATAATTAATATGACTTTTATTATAATTTATAAATATATTATTTATTTCTTCATTATTATTATACATATTATATGAGTCATAATTAATATCTCCTATTTTATTTCTTTCATCTCGTATTATGTTGTCATTTATTGATGGATTATTGTTATATGGATCATTGCTATTATTATTTTGATTATCTTGAATAAATTTATAAAAATTAAAATATTTATTAAAATATTTTAACAAAACTTTTATTAAGTAGATTGTCACAAAATTAGCTATATAGGTGTATAAAACAGGCATTTCACTTTTTATATCATCTTTGTAAATACCTAAACAAACATGTAAAATATATATACATTTCTCAATTTTTATTTCATCATTTATTATAAAATTATTCTCAATAATGCTTAAAATATTATGTTTTAAAATATCATTTGTTAACATTTTTGCTGATATAGCTTCATATGTTAAATATAAATCATGGGTTTCATGTATAATGAATAAGCAGAAATATTCCATCACTATATCAAAACAAAAATTACTTATTTCATATATATGTATTCCTGTTTTTACTTTTTTAAAATAATCATTTAAAAAATTGATAGTTACAACATATAAAGAACATATTTTTTTAATAATTTCATCATTCTTCTGACTAAATTTTTTTGATATTAACTTTAAAATACATAACCATAAGGAATAAAAATTATCATCTATAGTTTTATCAATATCTAAATTTATTTCTTTTATATATTGAAAATTTATTAAAGAATAATTACCATTACTTTGATTTTCTTGATATATATGTTTTTCTATTTTTGCTGACATTGTATATGATATTATATCAAAACTGAAATAAAATAAAATTATATCATCACATAATTTGTCATTACTCTGAATGTTATTATCATTATTATAATTTTCTTTATTCATAAATTCAATTAAACTTCCAGTATATTCATAATTTTTATTTAATATTTGCACTAATATATTTAATATATATTCTTTAATGCATAAATTACTACTCATATACAGATCTAATAGAAAATTATAATTATCCTTGAATAATGTTATGTCTTTTTCTTTATTACTCATAAAAACAATATGACTTAATATTTTTAAAATTTTCTGGATATTCTTGGGATATGATATCTAAAAAAAAAAAAAAAAAAAAATTAAAAAGGTGAAAAAGATGAAAAAAAGAAATTAAAAAGATGAAAAAAAAAAAATTAAAAAGATGAAAAAAAAAAAAAAAAAAAAAAAAAAAGATATATAAAAAATTTTTTATTAAATATAAAAAGGGTAAAAAAACAAATGTTATTTTATATCTTACTTTTGTTAATATATTAATTAATGATCCAACTAGAAATTCATTTATATAATCATAATTTTTATATATATACTCATATTTAAAAATGTATTTAAATAAACAAATAAATTTAAAGAAAAGTATTGGTAGAAAATTGGATGATTTTAAAGCAAAATGTTGAAAATTTAAATCATTTGAATAAGAACCCTTGTCTGAAATTAAAGAAATGACATTTTTTTCTAACAACTGCATATATAAAAATCTAATATTTTCATATATAAGTAAAGTAATATCATCAATAAAAGGAAAAGATACTTTATAACTTTTTAGCCATATTTTTATTATTAATGCTATTCTATAACTAATTAAAGGATGTGTGTATTTAATACTTAAGTAATCTAAAAAAAATTGTATAATACATAATATATGTTCAACTTTTATTTTTTTATGAAAAGATGGATATAAAATATAATAAATATTTAAATAGCCATCAAGATGAATAATAGCTTCTGAATATTCAGCTACTTGTATACTTTTTAAATTATTAGGAAAATTTTTCAAAAAATGTGCATAATTATGAAATGAATTAATTAATGGTTCAAATAAATGATTAAAAATAGAAAATAAAAATGGTTCCGATGATAATTGAACTATGCAATCTTTTGCATTATTATAAAAAATATTTTCTTCTGTTTCAAAATCATCTTTTATATTTAAAATAACATCAATTATCTGTTCTGAAGAAATATTAATACAATAGATTCTTAAAAAGTCAAAAATTTCTAATGCTTTCTGATTATGTATGAGAATAAAATCGTCACTAGATAAGGCTTGCTTTACTTCTCCTCTTATATATGTTAAGATTTCCTTTAAAGATAAATTTTTATTAAAAAGAATCTTATTATCATTTTCCACATTTTTTACATTTGTCATCAAGTTATTTATTATTTTTGATTCTAAAGTATTTTCATTATAACAATCTATATTTACATTTTTATTACACATCATGTTTTTTACATTAATATAATTTTCTCTCACTTTTTTTTGTTTAATTAAATTATACTGATTTAAACAAAAATGATAAAAAATTGATTTTAAAATGGATATACATAAATTAACTATTTCAACAAATTTATTTTCATAATCGTTAATATAATTATTTATGTTTAAGTTTTTTTTCAAAAATAAGCATATAAATTTTTCAGTTATATCTTTTTTTAAGTATGTATGAAAAGCGTTATGAAACTCTATCATTAATAAAAAACACGTTAATAAAAATTTTAAATATTTTAAATAATATATAGAAGAACCTTTATTTATAAATTTTAAATAGTAAATTGTCTTATTAATTAAAGAATTAAAAAAATTACTTCTTAAATTTATATCTATGTCATTATTATTTTCATTTGAGTTATTGTTATTATTATCATTATTTATTCCTTTAATTATATCATTTCTATTAATGATTAAATTTAACAAAATGCTATCTACATATTTTAATATTTTTATTTTTTTTTCATTTATTTCATAACATTCATTATTATTCATGGAACATTTATCCTCCATGTTATCACCAGAAGTGAACATTTTCTTTTCGTAATCATTAATTAAAATATGTAATTTATTACAATTCGTACAATTAGATTCATCACTACAAATACAAAATTCTATATTATTCTGAAAATATAAATTAATACAATTATTCCAGAATGGTTCTAAAGAATTTATAAATTTTTCTGATATATTAAAAGTTTCCTTTTTATCTTTTAATAACTTTTTACTACATTGTTCTCTTATTATTTTATAAAGCAAATATATATATATATATAAACTGTTCATATTGTTTTTGTGTATATTTATATTGTATAATAAACATTCTAACAGTTCAGGATAATTATGAACAAGTTCATATCTAGCTATTTTTTTTAATAAAATGCAAAATTCTCTATAATTATTTAAATTATCTACTCTGTTTAATATTTCAATAATTTTATTTTTTACTAATTTTTTTATATCATTATTAAAATGAAATTGATCCCTACAATTCCAATACCTTACTATTAAATTTTTTGACAAAATAATTGCCAATTTACGTATATTATAATGAACATTCGTATAGGAACATATAATTAATAAACTCATTATAAAATTTTCATCTTTTTCTAAATTATTTAAAATCTGTTCAGACTCTTTTCTACGCTCATGATCATTAGACCATGTATCATACAATGCATCAATAATTTTTTTATACTTTTCTTCTATTTCCATTGTTCAAATTTTTATTAAAACATTTAATTTAATTTCAATATTTGTTTCAATATTTATTTAAAAGTAATATTCTAATTATATATTTTTATTACATATATCTGTATAATATAGTTAAATATTAATTAAAAATACTTTCGTTACATTTTTCATATAATCTTCATCTATTAATAATAATAATAATTAAAAAGGTTTATTTCTGTAAAAACATATGCACATTTTTTTTTTTTTTTTTTTTCTCAATACCCTTTAATACTTTTTTTTTTTTTTTTTTTCCATAACTAGTGATTTTTTTTTTTTTTTTTTTTTTAAACAAATTAATCTTCCTTATTAGAGTTTATATTTGATAAATATTTTTTTGTTAAATATTTTTTAGATGATTTATATACAAATGAATTATATTAATTAATGAGAACATAAAATATTAATGTAAAATTTCTAGTACTTTTTTATATCTTTTGCGTGCAAAAAAAAATTAAATAAAAATTTTCTTAACCCTTTTTGAAAGATTATAAGAAAATTTTAAATATGGAAAATAAAAAAAAAAAAAAATAAATAAATACCTAATTAATATATAATTATTAAGATTTTATTACTTTTTTTTTTATATTTTTAATCTTTAATTATATATAATAAAATTTCACTTTATGCCACATAATTTATAAAGCTTATAAATATTTTAATTAAAAAATTTCTTGTTTTATTTTTAAAACAGTATGATGAATAAATGAAATATTCGTCTATTTCATAATTTATTTTAATTCTCATATAATTATCTAGATAATTATTCATTTAAACTTATAATTATATAAAATATTAACTATTTTATTTAGGTCTAATTTTTTTTTTTTTAAAGAGATTTCAAATAATTTTCTGTATAATAGTAAGGAATACTGTATATTTATTTTTATTTTTTTTTTTTTTTTTCTTCTTAAAATGAAATTGTCTAATAATAATTAATAATATTTTTGAAAATGTAATTTTTAAACTTTTGTTAAATATAGCTATGTGAATATTGTTAAAATTTTTAATTGAAAAATTAAAAATATATATTAAAATTATATGGTAAATTTTCTTCTAAAAACAATTTTTAAATCAAATAAAAATTGAGTAAAATAGAAAAGTAAAATAATTAAAAAAATTATTATAAATGTTTTTTTTATATATTAATAAGAGAGAAAAAAAAAGAAAAATATATATTAGTTAATTCTTTAGTTTTTTTAATTTATTTAAAAAAAAAATAAAATGTTATAGCACCCAAAATAAAAAGAAAAATAATTAATTATTTTTAGAAATATTCATTTTTATTTAATGGAAGTTTTATTTTTTATTTTATTTTTTTTTTTTTTTTATTAAAAAAAGAATGTTTTAATTAACACATGAATTAATTTATATAACATTTATTAATAGTTTCCATTACTATTGACTTTTTTTCCTATAATAGTAAAACTATCTTTTTTAATTGGCTAAAAAAATGAAAAATACAAATTTTGTTTATGTAATTTATAAATAAAAGAAATTTTTATAATTAATATATATATAAAAAAAAAATATTACATAAAAAATTTGCATATTCATATAAAATTTACAAAGTCACACTATAAATATTTAAAAAATTCTCCAAAATAATGCATATATATATATATATATATATTTTCAGTTAATTTTATAAATATTATATAATTTTTTTTTTTTTTTTTTTTTAAGTTACATCATCAAAGGAATCTTTTTTATTTGTTATTCCTTTAAGTTTTGTCTAAAAGAAAAAAAAAAAAAATACGCAAAATTTTTTTTTTTGTTTTATGAAATATATATAATTAAAAAAATTTAATATTTATGTACCATTTTAGTTTTATCTTTATTAGGTGACTTATTCTTATTTGAATCTATCGATATATTTGTTTTGTTAATTTCTTTATTTTGTCTATTAGCTTCTTCTTTTTTTTCTTCTAAATATTGAGTTAGGCTATTCTGTTCCTTCATAATTTTATTATCAAAATTTTCTATTTGATTTAGCATATTTTTAATAATTATAAAATGTTCTTTTATTTTTCTATTTCCGTTTAAATATAACGTTTTTAAATTATCCAAACTTTTTAAATATTTAAATTCATCAATATTATCAATTCTATTAACTCGAAGATCTAACTTTTTCACATTTTTTAATGTAGAAAAAGAGCTCAAACTTCTATAATATTCAAAATATAAATATATATATATGTATGTAAGATTAATATATAAAAAAAATATTAATTTTATTTTTTTTTTTTTTTTAACCTAATTAAATTATTCGATATATCTAAGTTTTCTAAACTATTAGGAAAAGAATTAGAACAAATTTTTGATATTTTGTTATTTGATAAATTTAAAATTTTCAATTTCTCAAAACATTCTAAATATTTAATTGTATTTATATTATTTCCCTCTAGGTTTAAAATTTTCAAATTTTTCAAATTTGTACACTTTTTTAAGAAAGTTGTTTTTGATAACAAGCAATGACTAATATCAAGCTCCTATTAATTTTAGAAAAAATTAAAAAAAAAAAAAATAAAGTTTTTTTTATTGTAATTTTTTATTATTTAATTTATTATTCATAATACTATAACATTTTATATATTTATAAAATTATAACATTTTATATATTTATAAAATTATAACATGTTATATATTTATAAAATTTGTATATTTGTAATATTACAAAATTAGAATAATTGATAATAAAATTATTGTATCTATTAATATTTTAATTACTATTTTTTTTTTTTTCATTAAATTATATATATATGTTGTATTAAAACATTTTCTAAATATTTGTATAATTATATTTTATTTTTTTTCTTTATTATTTTATACTTCTAATGAATTGAAAGAATTTAATGTACTATTATCATTTTCATCTATAAAAGAATTTTCATTTATGTGCTTATTATTGTTCATTATTAAAACCTAAAAATAAAATATATGATAATATAATAGAAAAAAAAAAAAAAATTAAAATTAAAATTATAAAGAATTAATGAATATTCCATTTACTTTTAGATTATCTAATGGTCCAATATTATTAATATTACTTATGTAATTATTTGAAATATTTAAGCTTATTAAATTTTTAAAATTATCATTATTAATATTAAATAAAATATTTTTTATTTTTAGACTATTTATCTCAAGGGACAATAAGGATGTATATGGTGGGTATAAATTATACATATCGAAAAAAGCATCAATAGTATATATATTCTTAAAAAACTTCTGAATATTTTGTTTTTTTTCAACATAGTTATTATTTAATATTAATAAATTAGGAAAAATATGAATTAAATATATATCTAAATTTAAAAAGTTTATTTTATTATTATATATATTAATAGAAATTAATGATTTCTTATTTTTAATTAAAACAAGATGCGTTATGTCTTTTATTAAATTATTATGAATATTAAGTTCCATCAAATTTAAATTTTGAAATAGAGGCAAATTTGTTATTTTATTATGAGAACATCTAAGTATTTTTAATTTTTTTAATAAAATAATTTTGTTAATATTTTTCAATTCATTGTTATCTAATACTAATTTTTCTATCTCTAAAAAGTCAGATAAAAATTCTAATGATGATATTTTATTATTTTTCAAATTTAAAACTTTTAATTTTTTTGGTAATTTTAAATCATTTAGATTCTCTATTCCATTATTAGATAAATTCAAAATTTTTAAATTTTCAAAATTGGAAAAATTTAAAAAATTTAAAGGTAAATATAAATTTGACAAATTTATTATTTTGATATAATTATGATAATTCTTTGTGTTTATATTTTTATATATTTCTGAATATTTCTTATTTAAAATATCCTTTATATTTACATATTTCCTATTTGTATTCTTTGGAATATCTAAAAAAAAAAAAAAAAAGAAAAAGGAAAAAAGAAAAAAATAATATAACATAAAAACATATATATATGAGTAAATGTATAATTTTGTTTATACTGACGTATTAAAAAAAGAAAATACATATATATATATATATATATTAACATATATATATATATATATTAACATATGTATATATATATATTAACATATGTATATATATATATTAACATATGTATATATATATATTAACATATGTATATATATATATATTAACATATGTATATATATATATATTAACATATGTAAAAATAATAATAATATAGATAAATTTCTTTTATATATTTAAATGCTACTATTTAAAAGATATTCATCATAAAAAATTTCTTCATTTGATGTAGCAAAGTAATAGTTATTAATATCAAAATTATTTTTATTAATTATGTTTATATCATTAAAGGTTTTTATTTTAGGAAATAGAAAATGAATATTAGAATAAAATTCTGATTTGATATATATAGAATTATTAAGGATTGACAAATATTCAATTTTTTTGTGATTTTTACTAAATTTTATTATTTGCGTATAATCATATAAATAATTAAAAGAAATATTAAGATGAATTAAGTTTTTAAATTTCATATATAATGAAGATAAATCAACTATATTGTTACATGATAAATCTAATACTAGTAAATTATTTAAATCATCTTCATAAAAATGAAAAAAATATTTTAAATTGCTAATGTTATTATTCCTTAAATGTAACTCTTTTAAATTAGGATAATTTTTTAAAGAATTCAAATTGATTTTTCTTATACTAAGATTATTTAAGTATAAAGCTTTTTTATTTTTCTCATTTTTACTATCACAAATAATCCCTTCTTCATTTGATTTATTAAATATATTAATAATATCATTTTTTTTTTTATTTAAAATTTCTAAATCTTTACAAGTATTTATCTCTACATTTTCATTAAATGCTTCATTAACTTCTAGATGGTTTAAATTATTTTTTAATAAAATGACTGAAGCATTTTTTTTTATTTCACATATTATTTTGCTTAATTTAATAAAATATTTTGTAATATTAAAAAAATTAATGAAATCAAAACTTAAAATAAAGTGAAGAAAATCGTCTTTTAATTTATTATTTGAAAGAGTATTTATATTATTTCTTAAATATTTTAAAAAATCACTTTTCATTTTTTTTTGATTTTCTACTTTTTTATTGGAATTTATTTTTTTTACATCATTTTTATCAGTATATTTTTCTTTATTTTTATTTAATAAATTCAAGTTAATTATATATTTTAAATTAGTGTGTTTGGGTAAGGTATAATATATTTTAAATTTTGTTTCCATATTTTTATTTTTAAATATATTATTATCATTTATTATGTCACTATTTTCTTTATCTATTTCTTTTTTATATGATTCTTCATTTTCTGTATCCAATTTTCTGTTTTCAGTTGAACTATATGCATACACTTCTTTATATTCATTTCGAAAAAAATAATTTTCAACAACATATATTGGGAATATAGGAAAATCAAATTTTTTATTTCTTATAATTTTTTTTTTTATGTTTATATTATTTTCTAAACTCATAAAATCGTTATTGTTTTTATTTTTGTAATAAATTAAATGAACTAAATCATCTTTCTCATCATTTTCTAAAAATATCCTGTATAAAAGAAAACATATAAATATATATATATATATATATATATATTTGTCGAATAATACACACACAAAAAAAAAAAAAAAAAAAATATAAATATTTTATATTTTTTAATTTTTACTTAATCAAAGTTTTCAAAACATGATTTATATTATAAGAAGAACAGACATAATTTTTTTCAAAAAATTTTTTTTTTTCACAATCGTCAACTATGTATTCTTTTTCATCAAATTCAAAGTAACTGTTTATTTTGCAACTATTTCAATGATAAAAATAAATAATATAAATATATTTTATGTAGATAAGTTAGTTTCTATTTTATGTCAACTTTATTTTGTTAATCTAATATTACTAATGATATGGATGCAAAAATAATAAATTTTTTTCATAAATTAAACTATTAATATGCTCTTCTCTGTATAAGATAAAAAAAAAAATAAAAAATAAAATAATTTATGGAAAATATAGAATTTGTAAAAATAAATTTAAAATATAAAATTTTAATAAAAAAGATAATGGCTTAATAAAATATTACATTGTTGTGTTTAGAATACTATGACTTAATTTTTTTACTTTTATTATACTTTCAATTTTTATATCATCTATAAAATAATTTTTTAATGCTTGTGGATGAAAATTTAACTTTAGCAAATTTTCAATTTTTCTAAATCTAACAAAAAAGAAATTAAAATTTACATAATATCAAATTTTTTTTTAAAATAAAAAAAGTATGTATTCCTTATTTCATATGGAATTTTTACTCTTCCTCTTCTCTATTTATAATTTTAAAAAAAATATTGAAGTAAGAACTCAATGATGTTATAATATATCTTATTTGTAGATTTCTTTCTTCTTTTAATCTATTCATTATATAGTTAAATCTATAATGTGATAAACAAACAAAAAAAAAAAAAGGGAAGAAATATATATAAATAAATAAGTATACATATATATATATATATAAATAAATAAGTATATATATATATATATATATAAGTTTTTTAAAATACATAAGTAACTTTTATTAACCTAATAGTATAGGCATTAATTAAATATTTTATTTCCTTTTCTATTTTTGATATTTTTTCATTTTCTCTTTCCTTATATTTAAATAATGAAAATAAAAAAAAAAAAAAAAATAATAAAATATATATAGTTTTTATAAATAATACAAATAAAACAATACGATATGCATAATTACATCATATGTATATATTTCTTTTAAATTATAATAAAAATTGAATGGCTTTAAAACGTCATTTAAATATGATACATTCTTGTTATTTATAAATAAGATATAATATTTTTCCTTTTTATATTTTTCTTCTATGAAATTTATTTTAAAATCCATGATATTTTTTAAGATCTCCAAATCAGTATCAGTTATTTTTCTATGTTTGTCTTTTATTACTTCATGATCTAAAATCTTTCAAAAATTTTAGTTTTACAATTTTTCTAAAATTATAAAATCAAGAATAAAATGTAATTTTATTACTCTTAAATTAGGGAAACGACTGAAAAAATAATGCTTATAAAGTATTCCATCTGTCAATATATTATTTCCTTTCAAAATAAATATATATAAATATATATTTTAAAATAATAAGGAGACATATTTTTATTTATATATTACTGTAATATATTGAATTCAAGTATAATTCTTTTATTTTTTTTAGATCATGAAGAATTTCAATGTCTTCAAATTTTTCAATTCTTAAAAAAAAAAAAAAAAATTTTATTTAAATTTAAGAAAATTTATAATATAAATAATTACAATTAATTATTAACTTGTTGCCGCTAATATTTAAATACTCCAAATTCAAATTATTTTTTAAGGAATCTATGTTTTTTATATTATTATTAGCCAAGTTAATATGTATAAAAGAATTAGTATTATTGAAAAAATCTATATTTTCAATTTTATTATCACTTAAATCAATATATGTTAAACTTTTATTTTCATCAATTTTTATGTATTTTTCAGTTAAATCATTATTAAACAAATTTAATTTTTCTAGTTTTGTTAATTTTTCTATTCCTAATATATAATATAGTAGATAAAAAAAAAAGAAAAAGAAACTTATTACATATCGAATTTTAATTGATTATTTTTATTCTGTTTTAAGATTATAATATAGATTATTTTTAAAATAATTTTTTGTAAAATTTTACATGATTACTAATATTAATACTATTTTTTATAATCACTATATATGATATTTCCTTTATTGAGATCTTTTTTTTTTTTTTTTTTTTTTTTTTTTTTTTTTTACCTAAAATACTCTTAATTTTATTAATTTGTAAAAATAAAATTATTAAATTGACACATTTAAACAGTGGTGTTATATGAGTGATATTATTTTTTACTAAATATAACTCTTTTATATTAATAAAATAATGAAAAATATTTAAATTAATATATTTTTCCATACAAACTTCTAATTTCTCTATTTCTTCATTCTTTTTAAATTCAACATTATTACAGAATTTAATTAATTTTACATAATTTCTGCAGAAATTAATTCACCATTATATGTATATATATATATATATATATATATATATATATATATATATATATATATATGTGTATGCATAATGGTTATAGTTTATATTAATTTACTCATTGTCATTTATTATTTCCATTTTATATATTTTTTTACGTTAATAACTGAAATGAAAAAAGAAAAAAAAAAAAAAAAATGAATATAATGTAGAAAAGAATAATTGTTATAATACTATTAATTAAAATATATTAAAGCATTTCGTTCTATATTTTCCTCTTTATTTTGTTATATTTTAAATTAATCCCTACATATTTAAGAATACATTAAAATTCCTCATAACACTTTTTATTTTTCCTTTTTTTTAATTCATAAAAAATTTCCTTCACAAAATAGAAATATATATGATATAAAAAAGATATTATATTTTTAATATCTATTTTACAAAATGCTTATTTCTTTTTTTTTTTTTTTTCCTTTTTCATTTTTATAATAAAATGCACATGTATTTTACCTTGTGTGCATTTAAAACTAGTGTATTAAAAAAAAAAAAAAATAAAATAAAATAAAATAAAAATTATATAAAAATAAAATGAATTTTCTTGTACTAATGTTTTTATAAATATTATAAATATATAGATTAATGGTATGTAATTTATTTAATAAAATATGTTTTATAAATGAAAAAATATAGAACTTTTAACTGTTTTTATTATTTTCAATTGAAAGATAAAAAAAAAATATCACAATAATTGGTAGAAAAAAATAAATTAAATAAATATATTTATATAAAAATGCATTAGTTAAAAAATGAAGGAAAAAGAGATTCTCCATGATAAAAAAATTAGTAAAAAATATATATATAAGAAACAAAATAAAAAACATATGAATAATGAAAAAAAAGAGAAGAGAAAAGAGAAAATTAAAAAATTTGATAATGTTGGAAAAAATGAAAATATTATTGTAGAAACAAATGATTCAAATATTACAAAAAATGAAAATTGTGATGATATAAAAAGTCATTTAAATGAATATATTAAAAATTCAATATCTAAAAAAATACCAAATATTAGTAGAAATTTAAAAATTGATTTGTTTGTTGCTATTCCTTCAACAATAATAAATAACAAAAGTGATGTAATTAAATCATATTTATCTAGTTATTTAGCAAGGATATTTACAATTTTTTCAATTTCAAAAATATATATATATGATGATCATTTAAGAAATGAAAAGTATGTAAATCAGCAAAGAAATAACATTATCAGCAATAATAGTTATAACCAAAATGAAAATAAATGTAATAATGATAAAAGTGATGAAAAAAATAGTATTAATTTTATACGAAGAAATAATGATTATTCTACAAATGAAACAAAAAAAGAAAAATCTAATGAGTACTCTTATTTATGTAAATATTTATATTACAATTTGCAATATTTAGAAACACCACAATATTTAAGAAAACATTTATTTCCAATAACAAATTTCTTAAAAAATTCAGGAATTATGAATCCAGTAGATGCACCACATCATTTAAGAAGTGATGAATGGCTTCCATTTAGAGAAGGAGTGGTTGTAAAAAGGGAATTAAAAGGAATTATTGTAGATGTGGGATTATTTACAAATGTCTTCATAAAAGATGAAAACTTTATAAACACTGGAACGAGAGTTACAGTATTACTAAATTCAGATTCTTTTAAACTTTTTCAGAAAAAAAATCCTAAAATTTTATTAAGCGGAAAATTAATTCATCCAACAATACCCAAATTATATAATTTATATTGGGGATATTCTATAGAAATTTTAAAAAATGTTAGTGATATTTTTAATTTACCAGTTGATTATATTATTGGAACCTCAGAAAGAGGAAAAACTATAGATGATTCAATTTTATCATTAAAAGATACAAAGTAAAAATTAAAAAAAAAAAGAAAAAATAATTAATTTTATTTATCTTTTATATACTTTTTTTTTTTGAAATTTTTTATAGATCAATACTTATTGTTTTTGGAAATAAGGATGGGTTAGAAGATTTACTAATTAAAGAAAAAGAAGAAAAAAAAAAAAAAAATTATTCCCCCGAAAAAAAAATTAAAGTATTAAATAAAATTTTAAAAAAATTTGATTTATTTATTAATACTTGCCCCTTTCAAACCTCTAGAACAATAAGAACTGAAGAGGCCATATCTATAACCTTATCGTTGTTACATAATATTCTTAAATAATTATTTCTATTATATATATAAAAAGTTAAATTTATATTTTAAATTTTAAAAAATTAGTAAGCTTAAAAATTAAAAGTGTTTTACATAAAAAAAAAAAAAAAAATTTTTAAGTATTTTTAAAAATATTTGTTTATATTTTTTATGAAAATCTATTTTTCTTTAATTATTATGTTTATTTTATATTATTGTTTTTTTTTTTTTTTTTTTTTTTTTTACCTTTTTTTATATTTGAAAATATTTATCTACATCAATATTAATATCTTTCATTTTATAAATATTTTTTGCATTTTTTTTTTCTTTAATTATTTCTTTATTTGTTTGTTCATACAATATACTTTTGCATAATACTTTCCATAAGTTTTTAATTTGTTTATATTTCTCATTTATTAAGAATTCATCTTGTATTTTTTTCTGTGGTATATATAAATTTTGAAATGATAGAAGATGTTTCTTTTTAATAATAATTTTGCTAACATCTGTAGATTTACTCTGTTTTTTTCTAAATTTATTAAAAAAATACGAATTATTATATATTATTTTATAAGGAATATTTCCTTTAATATGTTTTAGAATATATTTTAACTCAATATTATATATACATATATCTTCTTCTTTTAACTCAATAATATTACTTGATTTTAAATGAGAAAGTAATTTTGTTTTTAGAATATTCATCTTATCTTTTTTGTCATATATATAATCAAAATTTTCTTCTTTAGGTACTAAGTTATTTTTTTCTTTATTATTTTCCTCATTTAAACAACTATCATTAATTTTATCTTTGTTATTTCTTTTTTTTAATTGAAACTGAGCATATAATGGTATTTTTGTTTTGCTAAATTCCTCATATTCATAATTCAAAGGTTTTTCACTATCACTAATATAATAATTTTTATTTTCTAAATACTCTCTTTTCATTAAATTATAAAAGTTTTCTTTTAAATATACATTTTCTCCCTTAAATAAACCAACAGGTTTATTTGGATAAATTACTTGATTTTTTTTTAACATTGATTTTAATATGTAATAATTAGATTTAAGAAAATCACTTTTTTCTTTTGGTATCATATTTGTTACATAAAGATTATATAAATACTCATCATCTAAATTATCTAAAACTTTTTCAAAATGATCATAATTTTTTTTATTTACATAATATGAAATTCTTCTAAAATTATCTCTAATAATATTACATTGCTTGTCTCCTTTTATTATTGTATTATATGTACTGTTTTTAGTATATCTTAATTTGTGCCGAACACTTATATCTCTTAATATGCCATATTTATTAATTGAAATGTATAAGTTATAATTATCTAAATTATAGAAATACTTATATACATTACTATTTATGAAAACTTTTATATATTTATTATTTAATGTATCTCTATTTGTTGTATTAGCATATTTATCATAAATTATTTCATCATATTCTATAACATCTTTTTTGTTATTATTATTTTTTTTTAATTTTTCATTAGCCATTTTTAATGCACTAATTTGATTTACAAGGTAATTCTTTCTATTATTTGTATCATATATATTACTTAATGAATTCACTATTTCTTTATCTTCTTCTTCTTTTTCAAAATCAAAAATATTATCATTTTTTGATTTAACATAATCATATTTTGTATTGTTATTTTCTAATTTCTTCTCCATATATATAATTCTTACTACTCTTTTACTTTTTTTATCAAAAATAAAAAAATTATTGTTTTTCTCAATATACATTTTTCCAGCATAATCATCACTTAAAATTTTAAATTTTTCATTCTTATCTTTACTTATATGTTTCTCTAATTCATTAAGATAACATATGTTATCCTCTTCTTGTAATAATTCATCAGAGAATTGAGTTTTTTTATTTTTTGCATTATTTAAAAGGGTGGGATGATTTTTTCTTTTATCTTTATTCATATATGACTCATTTTCGCTATTTATTATTTCGTCATGTAAAGGCATTTTCTCTTCAAATGAATGATCAGAACTGGAGTCCATAGATGTTTCAGAGTTATGTGTCCTGTTATTACCCTTATTAATAAAAAGAGACAGTGTAAATTTATTTAATGAAGTGTTTGTTTTTGCTTTTTTATATGTTTTTATTTCTTCAGGATTTTTAGGTAATGGTAGTAATATGTGAAACATTTTACTTTCATATAAAGAGGAATTATCATTTTTTGAAAAATTAAAGAAATTAAAATAATAAACATTAAAACAAAAAAAAAAAGAAATCCATTTATTATAGCTTGTAGAATAGCATTCAGAGAAAATGTTAAATTGTGCTGTTTCATTATTGTTACAATTTCTGTAATTTTTTTTTATCTTTTTATCTTTAAGAAAATCTTGCTTATCAATAATAATTAAATCATTATTTTCTTCTATCTCATTATCATTACTTTCTTCATTAAAAGAATTAACAAAATGATTAAAAAAAATATTTTTATTTATGTCTTCATAATATTTATTATAACACTTTTTAATGAAACGACTCTCATTATCTATGTCAATATCATTTTTTAAATTTGGGAATGTTATGCATATACGACTTGGAATATTTAAGCATCTACATAAACAAATAAAAATTAAGTTCATTATAACATTATTAGCTCGTTTTCTATGAATACATCTAATTATTCTAAATATTATAGAACCTCTAATATTCTTAGAAAGAATTTGATCACTACTTATCCAAAATTTACTATCAATAATTAGCTCAAATGAATTTTTTATAAATAAAAATAAATATATAGGATCCTTATATATCTTGTTATTAAAATTTTTATAATTAACATAAACAGAATATATCAGTGATTGCAATAATTTATTATTACATATATTATTTAAAAAAAGTATATGACCAATCCAGCATAACATGAATGCAATTAATTTATTTTTTTCAATTTTTTTTTGGATATTTTTGTTTCTTAATTCCTTGAAATCTTTTATTCGTTGTTTAGTTATATTACAGGAAAAATCTTTATCATCATCATTATCAGTTTCATTTTTTTTTGGTGAATTTTTTTTCTTTTTACTATTTTTATTTAATGATTTTTTTTTTTCTTTCTCCTCATTTTCCTTTTCAATAATTTGTACATCGCTATCTGAGCTTTTACTTGACAAACTTTTTTTTGTGAAATCAGTTTCATTACTATCATCAAATTGAATGAAATCATTTTCATTAATATTTAAAAATTCATTATTAAGAATATCTTCTCTCTTTTTATCTTCCTCTTCACTCGAAATATTTTTTTTTTGTAATATTTCCAATTCTTCATCACCAAATAATTCTCTATCAATTTCATTTAATTCTGTCTCATGGATGTTTTTTTCAACTTTTCTCTTTTTTGCCATTTTAGTTTAGAATAAATTTATAAAAATGTAATTTACATTTTGCTCATTAAAAAAAATTAGTAATTTTTAGAGAAATTAGAAATTTTTTTTTAATTTTTTAATGTTAACATTTCAATTAATTTCAACATAAAATTTTTTGAAATAATTTGATATTTTAAAATGATTTAATATTTTTTAATTTAAAATTAACATACTTTGATGTCTCAAATTACTTTGAATTCTTATTTTTATTCTTTAAGGTACAATTGTATATTAAGAATGAAATATTAACATAAAAATTAAATTATGCTTTTCAATTTTTTTATATTTCAGTTTTTCTTTTTTTTTTTTTAAATAATATAGGTCATAAATAAGTTTTCATTTTATAATTTATGTTCGTTTTAAAAATAGTTAAAATGTAATTTTATATTTTAAAAATTATTTTAAGAGTTAATACAAAAAAAAAAAAAAATATATATATATATATATTTATAAATATATTAATCATAAGTATTTTTATGTACACAATACTAATAAATTTATAAAAAAAAAAAAAAAAAAATTAAAGAGTTTTAAAAATATAAATAACATATTTTTTTTCATAGTAGTTTCAATAACTCTATTATGAACTATGCATATTTATTAAAAAAAAAAATAAAAGTAAATATAATAAATTTTTTTATAAAATAAAGTAATAATTTACATGAGGTATAAATAGAATATTTCTTTTTTCCATTTGAATATTATATATATATATATAAAATGGGTATTATAATTAAGATAAAAATAGTAAAATAAGAATATTATTATAATAATGTTTCAAATAGATTAAGCTTTTTTTCTTTAATTATGTTGTAATAATTCTACTAATAATTTTTTGAAGAATAAGGTTCTTCTAAATATGAGAAAATTTAGATAATATTAAATGATAATATAAATTATAAATATCCAAAAAAAGAAAAAAAAATCTTATGTCATTTAGCAAAATTAATATAATTTTATATTAAAAATTTTTTTTTTTTTTTTTTTTTTTGTTTTCATAACAATTAGTTTTTTTTTAGAGAAACAAAACAAACATCAAATAATCTCTCTTTAATAATATTTCCGTTCTTTTTAGTGATTTCATACAAAACTTGTGTATATCCTTCTTCTATAGGTATGATAAGTTTTCCATCTTCTGCTAATAAATCAACTAGAATATCTGGAAGTTCGCTAGCTGATGCTCCTACATGAATAGCATCAAATAAACCTAACTCTTTTTTTTCTTCTTCATTTACTTGATAAATGTTTTTGTGAATAATTTTAAAATTCTCTATATTTAATAACTCTGGTTTGTCTCTTTTTATATTCTCAATAGAAAAATCCACTAGATCTTTTACTCTTTCTATTCCTAAAACAAACGAGTTTTTGTTTTCTAATACATTTGTTCTTATAGCCATACATACAGTTAAATACCCTGATCCTGATCCTACACAAACATATAAAAAATAAAAAAAAAATATATAAAAAATAAAATATAAAAAAAATAAAATACTTTACAAAAAGATTATTTTATTTTATTTTATTTTATTTTTATTTTTATTTTTTTTTTTTTTTTGATATATAATTACCAACATCAATAGCTCTAGATCCTGGTTTTAATACACTCATCAATCTCTTTAAAGATAAAGCATGCATATGTGGAGATGATATAGTAACACCATGACTTATATAAACAGGTGTATCTACATATGGATTTTCCTTTATATATTTTCCTCTATCAACCTATAAATATATATATATATATATTTATATATATATAAATATTTAAATATATATATATATATATATATATGTATATTATTTACATGTTAACATTAACTTATATACATGTATTAATTTAAATAAATTATTTCCATATATTTGATCATAATATACATGCTTTGTTATTTAATAGATGCACGGATTTTATATATATATATATATATATATTATACTTAATTCATAATCTTTAATTGTGTAATATATTATATTTTTATTATTTCCTATAGTTTTAAATTCTTTTTCAATTTTATATTTGAATATTTCATTTTTGTCATTTTCAAAATAATGTTCATAATGTATTCAAACCTGTAGCATAGTGTCATATACTTCATCATCTTCTATTATTCCTCTTCTTTTAAGATTATCAATTAAACTTTTATGATTTTTTTCAGTTAAACTATACATCTTATGTGTCCGTTTATTTTTTATGATATTTTTTTTAAAATTGTATTTCAATGGTTTTAGAAAAGAAAATTCGTTGAACTTAAAAATTTGTTTGAAGAATAGCAAATTTGTTAATTTTGCTTCTAAAGTAAATTTTTGTGAGATGACAGAATTAATATTTAAAAATGTTTTATAAATAAGAATTTTAAAAATTAAATAGTACATTTTGTAAATTTATTTTTTTTTTTTTTTTTTTTTCCTTATGAAGTTATACTAGAATTTTTTATTTAAAAAAAAAAAAAAAAAAAAAAAAAAAAAAAACTCCTTTCACCAAAAATAAATATAAAAATTTTTTAAAAAAAAAAAAATAATAGTTTTCAAAAATAAAATAAAATTAATAAAAACTATTATTTCATTAAATAAGTTGCTAAAGTTTTCATATATTAATGAAATAATCAATCATTCTTTTTTATTATTCTTTCAAATCATTTTAACATAACCTTAATGAATAGACAGAAAATATTTAATTATTAAATTTAATAATTATTCTGTACTATTAAAAAATAATAACAAATAATAATAAAAAAAGGTAATTTGTAAAATAAAACAAAATAAATTTTTTAATTCTATAGTATATATACATAAATGCATGTATTTTTATATTTAAATATTTCTCATAATATTTTCAAATTTTTCAGATATAAAAGATTGTGAAATTTTCAATAGATTGATTAATTTTTAAAAAAAATGAAAGAAAGCACAACAATCATATTTGAGCTTTAATACTAAAAAATTAAGTAACATTGATAAGATCTAAAAAAAAAAAATAAATAAAATTAAATATATTAATAAAGGGGGGAGGGGAAAAAAAAAAAAAAAAAGAATAAATATAAAAAATTAGAAAAAGAATTTGATGTTATTAAACTGAAGGTTAAATAAATAACATTTAATAATAAAATATAAAGAAAACGAATAATTATAGATTTCCATATTATAATTAATAATTATTAATAAAAAAAATATGAATTATTTCATTTATGTTTTATAAGATAATACTAGAAAATATGTTTTTTTTTTTTTCTTTTTTTTGAATACGATAATTTGATGAGAATTTTTTTAATTATATTTATTTGCTATTTTATTTATATATTCATTAAATAGGTTTATTTACTTATCATTTATGAATTTATTATTTAATTTATTAGTTTATATATTTATTAATTTTTTAATTTATTATTTTATTAATAAATTCAATTATTTGCTTTTATTTTATTTTATTTTATTTATTTTTTTTTTTTTATTAAGCTTTATGTATTTTACACAACCATAATTTTTAAATTCTTACATTACTATAATAAATAGTTTTTATAATGTATGATTAACATTTTAAAAAATTCTTTAAGTATTACATCTATTTTTCATTTAAATTTTCTTCTCATTTTTATTTTTTTACTTATTTATTATTATTATTATTATTATTTTGTTTTCTTATAATTTTTTTTTTTTTTTAAATCATTTTCTGCTTTTTTTTGTTTAATTTGCTACTCATAGATTTTCTCTCTGAATTTTCCTCTGTATCAATATTCTTTCTATTGTTTTTTTCTCTTTCATTTTCTTCTATTTTAGAAGAATATTCATTAGGTTTTTCTTTCATTTCATGTTTAAATATTAAACTTGAATCCTGTGATTTTCCGTTTTCCAAAACTTCATTTTTAGTTCTATTGTTATCTCCTATACTATTTGAACTTATGATTTTTTCTTCATTCACAATTCTATTACTTATTGTTGCTTCTTCATATTCATTTTGTTCATGATTTTTTATAAAATTACTATTATCTTCATTATATGGTTGATTTTGTGTAAAAAAATTTTGATTATTTTGCATATCTGCTTCTTCATTTGAATTATTTTCACTTTCACTTTTATTCATATCACTATTTTTTTTTTCATTTCTGTTATAAAAATTTTCAATATCATCGTTATAAGTATGTAGAGTATTATCAGGTGAAATATTTTTTTCAACATTAATATTGTTAGATTCATTATAACTGTCCTTATTTATATCTTTATTATTAGTTGAATTTAATTCATTAATATCATTTACATCATAATGATATTGCTTTAAAGGAGAATTATCTTCTTCAAGTATTGTCTTATTATAGTTTTCATCAGAATAAGAATTACTGTAATAATTATGTGATGTTAAGCTACTTGTTTTATCAATCAGTTTCTTATTGTGATGAGAGGTATTTGGCTTTGTTTTATTAAAATTATTAAATATATTATAAGAGTTATTCAAACTGAAATTTTTATTTATATAGATATTGTGCATATAAAGAACTTCTTTAATCTCATTTATTTCTTTTCGTAAATCTTCAATTACTTTTATATACTGTTTTAGCTCTAAAATATCTGAATTTCTGTTTATGTCTCCTTTATTTTTCAAATTTTGTGGTACATTTTCTATATTTTTGTTTGAACTTTCTAATATAATGGAAAACATGTAAGTTGATAAAATGAGTATTATTGAAATAAGCATCAAAAGAACTATTAGTTGTAAAACTTTCTTTATTCTTAATTGTCTTTTAAGTTCATTCATTTGTTTATCACTTAATTTATTTTTAATTTTTAAATTTTTAAAATCTCCTTTATCACATTTTGAATCTACATCATCATAACAGGGTAAAATTAAGTTATATTTGTTAGAAAATAAATATGATATAATATTAGTTATATAAGAAAGTTTATTTTTAAATGAACCTTTTTTTAAATAATTTTTTGAATTATTTTCCTCCATTTCATTTAACAAATAGTCATTTGTTATATTTTTATATTTATTGTAATTTTTTTTTCTATCTTTCTTTTCAAAAGTACTATTTTTCACATTTTTGTATTTTAAATTATTATACATATTTGTTTCTTCACAATTTTTAATAGGAATCGAATTATATCCATTTACAACACTATTTCTTTTATGAGAATTTTTATCATTTTGAAAAATTTTTATATTTTCATTTTCGCTTTCATTTTCATTACTTAAAATTACAACAGGTAAATTGTCATTTACATTGGTTGTACTTTGTTCATTCATCTTATACATTTCTTCACTATTTATTATTTTAATGAAATAATGAATTTTTTTATGATCTTTGTAATTTTTTTCATAGCATTCTTGAGAACAATAAAATATTTTCTTATTATGTTTTAGACAAATGGGGCAACAAATAGTAACATCTGTTACTATTCCACATCCTGAACATATTGTCATTATAAATAGGAAAATGGAATTTTTTTTATTTTAGTAATTCTCATTAAATTAAATAAAAAAAATAATAACAAAAAATAATAAATATATAGATATTATATATATATATATGTACATATATTTATATTGCAAATAATGATATTATATATTATTAAATATATATATATATATGTATGTATTTTTCATATAATTTTTAGATATCAAAATTATTAAAAAACAACCAAGATATTAAAAATAAAATAAAATTAAAATAATATAAAATTAGATTAATTTTTATCTTATTAGGAAGAATTTGATATTATGTGGGAAAAAAAAAAAAAAAAAAGAATAATAAAATAAAATATTTGATTTATCTTTTTTTTTTTTTTTTTTTTTTAATAAAACATAAGATTATAAAAAAAGTTAATGATGGAAAAATATAAAATATTCAAGTGTTTTTCTTTATTTTTTAACAAATTTTATTGGACAAAAAATGCAATACGATTTCAATAATTATATTTTTTTTTTCAATGCAATAGCAATTAAAATTGTTAAAGGATTCTTAAAAAGTTTATAAGAAATTAAAATGTAAAATTAAAAAGTAAAATATAATTTTAAATATATAAAGTTGATTATTTATATATATTTTTATTTTATTAAAAAAAAAATTCTTTGTTTTTATTATGTTGCTAGCTAATACGAAAAAAAAAAAAAAAAAAAAAAAAATATATA